TTCAATGATACGTGGACAAAAGAAAACAAAACGGTAAACAGTTTACAGAAAGAGACGTTATAATCATTAACTTTGTCCTTACTTATCTGCTACCCATTGAATCCTTTTGTGTTATTTTATGCGATATCTGTTTTTAAAAAGTCTCTGTGTTAATAATTAAATTAATTATTAATTTAACAAATTAATAATTAACGCAGAAATGTCTTAAAAAAGTAGGCAGGATCCAGATTTCCAGGCAAAAAAGGGCGGGATAGCGGGATTAACAGGAAAAAATGGGCGGGAAAGCGGGATCTGAGAACCTATTGTGGACCCTCGAATTTTAAGACAGATTCATGGCTAACCAAAACCATAAGAAAAACTCATCTCAGGTAAGACTTTGAAGATTCACATCATATAGTATTTCTTTACCTCCCAATTTACATATTATTTCAGTTGTACTGTATTACACTACAAAACCAGAAGATTACTAACAGAAAAAGTCATTAGAAAGTGGCACTACAGTGATATACCTGCGCCAATCTACCACTAGCATTGTCAGCTGTTTCAGATTTGGGACTGAAAATGAAGGTGACAGAAGGACAGTAAGTTAAAACCTGCTGTAAATAACTTTAAAGTTATCAAAACCCAAAACCAATCACTTCACCTGCAAAACAGTGGCAATAAACACAGTGGGTTCATATTGAGGCAGGACTTTATATTGTTTGTGATGACTAGTGTACTTACAGCAGGCTTGCAAAGAGTTGAGTGATACCAACAGTGTTTATGCATCACAGGCCATACAAAATACTGTCCCATAAATTACTTTTTATTACAAAACAACAACTAACACCAGTACTCCTGAAGGAGTTCACCAAAAGTTGTAATGCGAACATGGCATGACCAGTTGCTCACAAACTTCAAGACAAAAAGTACATGTACAGGCTCCATCTGGCCTCCCCGGGGTGGGGGAGAGGGGGGAGGGAACTCCTTTATATGGGCTATAGATATAGGTATGTGCGGCCCCAAAGGGTATGGCTTTTCAGC